CACACAGGCGACCAGTCGACTGTATGCGTTTTCGCTCACTGCAGTAACGCTGTTGAGCTGCACACCAAAAACGCATCAAAATGAGAGTAACCTAATGAACGCAACGAAGCAAATGCGAATAGTGTATTGAAGTAAGTACAAGGTAACAAAGCTAGTACGAAATGAGCATTTGATACCCACTTTAAGAAGTGCAGATGTCCTTATGTTGCCTACGGCTGTAAAAATGTTATCAAGAACGCAACCTTGGAACTAGTGCAGTTGTCTCATTAAAAAAACAACTGCATTGCTTCTGGAACAAATGTTCTGAATTTTTCACTTTTTATAGCGCATAATCTTCTTTTCATAAGTCCTAGCTAATCAGGCTCGGAGAAATGAGCTATGGTACCGAAAACAACTTGACTAAACGAAAAAACGCTCCTCTCGGAAGTTTCAGGTTACTGGGAGCTACCAGATCAGTAGAACATAAGAAAATCGAATAAAACACACAAATGAGAAGTTTCAAAATAAACAAATATTACACATGCCTATGCCGCCCGGATGATAATTGTTATGGCTAATCCCCTGTTAATAACGCTCCCGCATGCTGAACGAAGATATGCCAGGTTCTTCGGTTCGAGGTTATATAGTTCCAGGTAATATGCACTGTTTATTCGACGTATGTATGCTTTCTCTTTAGAAAGTGCCCATTTATTTGGTGGCGGGTGTGGCAACAGGTCTTTTCTATAATTAATTCATATCGCCTCTCCTTTTCTTCTCTTACGTCTTTCCAAATTTTAGTCTTATTCTATCGGACATATGCTCATTATATATACATGGCGAGTAACAAATTCTACTGATTTGCTGCACGCCGCTTTGCTCCGTATTTACAGCTAAGGGATGAAACACAGACTGCTTGTCTAACATGGCTTCTGCGCACATGATCTTTAGATTGATCCTTTATTACCGATTCTAATACGTCTCGTAAGTACCACTTACTAATATGCCGATTTTCACCAGTTATCAGCAACATAGGCAACTTGATCTGCTCAAAAAACAAGAAAAAATTACCGTCCCTCACTTGAAGAAAATGGGAAATCTAGCTGCAAGAAACCTGAGCAATTTCAAAAAAGCTGAAAATTATGCCAAAGCTTTTATACGATCAAAGATTTACCAACTGCACACTGGTCGTCTTCGTTCGCAATATGGATCACGATGGGTTTTGCCATACATGTGGAGCTTGATACTTATAACTTTTTCCACAGCAGCACAAGTAAATTTTCCTCAAACGGTATTCTTTTGGGATTGTGTATTTGAATAGAACTGGAATGGTTCATCAGCGAGCAATGAATGGAAAATTATTTACAGGGAAAAAAAGGAAAGGCTTCATGAACATCAAAAAGGGCATTCATCATTCTGTCTGTGATGCACAAAGGGTTGAGAACAAAACTTCAGAATCGGGATATCATTATTTTTTGTTGGAACCTGAATCATACCACTCTTCAATGTCCAACGACAAAATTCAGCGAAAACATAAAAACAACATTTCTCTATCTAATTTTTGTATCTAACAGCAGAGCGGTAAAAATGAGGGGAACGA